TTTCATAGTGAAACCACACAAACATTTCAGTTTAACAGCTTAAAAATGAGTGTAATAGTAGACAAGCAGATTTGATTCAGCCAAAGATCAGGAAAAATGTCTGTTTTCCCAAAAAAGTATGACAGAAATATTCCCTATCTGGGAAAATCAGGACACCAGCCACAACATTCTGGAGATGGATATATCAAAGAAATATCACTCACAGAGGTAATATAGTGATGGACTCCAGTGCAAGTGGTAAAATTCAGCTAGCAACCAAAAAAAGGAAATGGTTGTCCAGGAAAAAAGAAGCTGGAAGCTGTGGAGTAGAAAACCTCCCAGGGAGGCAGAAATTCTCAAGAATTACCACGAAAGCTCCCATTATTACTTTTGGTTTATTGTTTTGCCTTCAGGAATATTTGCTTTTTAGAGTTTTGGGGTTTTTTTTTTGTTCCACCTGGTACAAAGCCCTGTTTTGCTTGGATGTCTTTTCCCAACTCTTCTAAGCCTGGCACCAATCCTAACCCAACACCCAACAAATAACCCAGGAATGCCTTCCCTGCTCCCCGGTGTCCTCGCAGGCCCAGGAATGGCAGTGGGTGGTCACAGGGAGCAGGAATTCCAGCCCCAATTCCCTGTGGATCTTGTACAAACCCCCCTGCACAGCCCGGCTGGGATTGTTCCCCAGGAGCTGGGCAGGAAATGTCCACACGTGGCCCAGCTCTGCTCTCAGGTGCCCGCACACACTCTCAGAGCCTGAATTCAATTTACAGCCCTTTAATCCCGCTGAACTCAGCGGCCACCCCCGGGCGAGGAGCTCTAAATGCCTGCAGACTGCAGGCCTGAAGGCAGGGGCTGGAATTCCGGATCCCGGGGGGATCATTCCCGACAGGGATCATTCACACCAGGCACAATTTGTAAGAGTTCGCTGAAAAGCAGCAAATGGGAGAGCAGACCTGCCCAGACAGCAAATCCCGTCCCGTTGTTTTCTTGGTTTCAGCCACTAGATGGAGGATTTTAATTGGGAACAGCTCCAAAAATCCTGTAAGGACTTCCAGGGCAGGTTTAGGTGGAGATCAGGGGAAGGTTCTTCCCCCTGAGGGTGCTGGGCACTGCCAGAGCTGCAGGAGAGGTTGGACAGCGCTGCCAGGGATGCCCAGGGTGGGGATTTGGGGATGGCCTGGACTGCAGGAACCCTATGGGTCCTTCCAGCTCAGGGTATTCCATTATTCCAGGAAATTCAAACTTCCAGGATTAGCTTCATCCACCTTCCACCACCCCAGGGACAGCCACAATTCCCTGGGAATCCGTGCCAGGGCTCCCCACCCACAGGGAGGAATTCATTCCCAATATTCCACTTATCCCTCTTCTCTAGGGCCATTCTCTCTTGGCCTGCCAGCTTACCTTTAGCAACAAGAGAGAATAATAGTAATAATAATTTATAGTTTTTTCTCGTTTTTTCCTAACATGTGCACTGCTAGTCCTCAATACACTGGAAAATGTTTCTGATCCAGCAATTCCAAAGGAGACAAGAACAGCCCCCAGTGTTGGCACAGGCTGCTGCTACTACAAAAAAGCAGGAAAGCCAACATCAAATACAACCTGCTCACTCCAAAGTCTTCTAATGGATTTTCCTGCTGCAGGCATCAAGGAAAAAAAACCTTTCCAGCTGCCAAACCAGACCTTGCACTGCTGTATAACAGAGAGATAGCAGGAGGTTCAAATTCTTGCCAAAAAAAAAATAATGAAGAGCATCATTTCAGTAGGAGAACACGAATTGAGCAGTTTTTCAAAATCTGAGTTATTTTCATAGGATTATTGAGGGTGAAAAAGAGCTCTGGGATGGTGGAGTTCACCCTGTGCCCCATGCCCACCTTGTCCCCAGCCCAGAGCACCGAGTGCCACCTCAGGAATTGCTGGGACACCTCTGGGGATGGGCACTGCAACCCTCCCTGGGCAGCTCCAATCCCTGACCCCCCTTTCCATGGGGAAATTCCTGCTGATGTCCGACCTGAGCCTGTTCCCTGTGCTCCTGTCCCTGCTGGTCCCTGAGCACAGCCCAACCTCCCATCCTGCCTCCAAATTTTGAATTTTCATTTACACCGCCTGATCCTGGCCTGGCAGCTCCCCTCCCTGTAGTGAAAATTCCCAGCTAAATTCAGCTTTAAGCTGCCCAGAGTTTCAGTTCAGGGGGTGCTAGAGAAGATCAGGTTGGTCTGTTTATACCTGAGGAGCAGAGATGGGAACTCCCCACTGCCATCAATTCCCTCCATTCTTCTCCATGGTAAAACTCAGATTTTCAGAGGTTTGAACTGAATATATTCTTCCCTAAAGTGCTCTAAAGTCAGGGGTTACAAACAGGAAGCAACATCAAATGATTCTGTTCAACAGACACCACCACAAATTATTTTATTTCAAGTCCCACATACCAAGGGTGTGATGCAGTTAAACCTTTTGTATGTTTTTCAGTCTAACTGGTTGCAAAATTCACTATTTTCCAGCACCTTTAAAAACCTAAACCTGCAAGGAAACAAGTGGTTTATGTGACTGTGAAGACATTTTATTCCTTTTATTTTACTTGGGAAAGAAAAAAAAAAAAAGGTGATTAGCCTCTCAATGATATGGATAAGAAAAAAAATCAGGTTATTTCATCTGTCAATAACCAAATATGGAGTTTCAATCTAAAGGAAATCAACCTGTGACCAAAATTTTATTGGCAAAGTTCTGCATACAAAGACATTTTGTGGCTCTAAATCCAACCTGGCTTTGCTCTGTCCCCTCCTACTAGTGGCTCAATCCCAGCAACTCCAATTCCAAGGAAAGAGATGAAAACCCTGGAATTCTGACACAATGAAGGAAAACCCTGGAATTCTGACACAATGAAGGAAAACCCTGGAATTCTGACACAATGAAGGAAAACCCTGGAATTCTGGCACAATAAAGCTGTGTGTTGTTCCTGCACCTACAAAGCTTTCCAGGATGAGGGGGAAGCTCAAGAGAAAACCAGAGGCAAACTCAAGTCCTGGCAAACAGGAGCCTCTCCCTGGAATTCCCTGGGTGTGAATCCCTTGGGACACCCCAGCTCCTTCCCAAGCCAAGGGAAATCCACAATCAGCAGCTCTGAGCTGGGACTAAACCTCGTTTTCCTCACCTGATTGCCCAAAATTGCAGAGAAAGGATGGTAAAAGCAGCAGAGGCAGGAAAGGAGCCCTTTTCCAAACTTATTTCTTGGAGCAGGTGCCTCTGGAAGCTGCAGCTGTGAGCATTGCTAATTAGCACCAGGCCCTTAATGGTTTTATTAAATGACTCTGGATGTTATTAATCAATTAGTTCTTTAAAGGAACCTTAATTAACACCTGCTCTGGAACCACACAACTTTCACATGGCTGGGTGACTCAGACAGAAAACTCAGCTGTAGGAGAGATGATAAATTGAAAAAACAAAGTTCTAAAATGTTTGTGGCCTCTGGAGAAGATGGGATGTTTCCCAAAACCAAGCTCTATCTTTTTATTCTGTCAGTAAATTAATTAATCTTTCTTCCTAACATCTATTACTAAAAATGGAACTCCTCCCATTTATTGATGGGAAAATTTGCTCAGTTTCAGAATCAAAGTCTTGTTATGCTGGTGCATTTCCATAAACAACTACTTAATATATATATAAATATATATACAAAAACTTCCTAACAGAGAAAACCCTCTGGTTCAAGAGCCACTACTATGAAATTCTGACACTTTTTTGTTTGATATTTTAAAATCTTGGTTGAAATATTTAAAGTTATAAAAATATCAGGTTTGCCTCTTGATATCTTGGTATCTATAGGGCACCACACCTCAGATAACCTCATACAGAAGGCAAGAAAGTACCAAAAATCACTCCAAAATACCACTTTAAAGCTGCTTCCACCAAAGCAATCTCTCAGTTGCTAATAACCCTTGTTTACTTCAAAAAGTCTTCCCTGGAGAGCTCCAAAAATAAACTGATCCATAAACTATCTGTGCCATAGCAGGATAAAATGACTATATTTGGTGAAGTACACAACTTGCCACTGTGGATGGATTTAAAAATAAAACAAAAAAAAAAGCGGGGGGGGGGGGGGGCGGGTGGGGGAGAGAAAAAGGAGTCAACACTTGAATTGCAAATAAGGGTATCGGGATACTGAGTGTGTTCAGAGAATCCTGGAATAGTTTGGGTGGGAAGGGACTTTAAAGCTCATCTCGTTCCAGCCCTGCCATGGCAGGGACACCTTCCAACATCCCCGGCTGCTGCGAGCCCTGTCCAGCCTGGCCTTGGGCACTGCCAGGGATGCAGGGGCAGCTCCAGGGAAAGCTGTGCCAGAGCCTCAGCACCCGCACAGGGCAGAATTCCGGCTCAAGATCGCATGGAAAGCACTCAATGTCAAACAGCTGGCTGGCATGAAGAGGACACAAAACACCAACCCTGCTATGGGTGTGGAAAACCCTGCCAGGCACTGAATGAGCACACACGGGGCTGTGCCCGGACCCTGCTGCACCACAGCCCCAAACACATCCCGGGGGGACAGCGGGACACCGAGCCCAGCACTGGGGAGCCCGGCAAGGGGTGAGGCCCGGAGCGAGCGGGAAGAGCCAAACCTTTGGGTGGAAGGGACCTCAAAGCTGATCCCGTTCCAGCCCTGCCATGGCACGGACACCTTCCACCATCCCAGGCTGCTGCGAGCCCTGTCCAGCCTGGCCTTGGGCACTGCCAGGGATCCAGGGGCAGCCCCAGCTTCTCCGGGCACCCCGTGCCGGGGCCTCAGCGCCCTCACCGGGAGGATTTGCTCCCCGATATCGAACCACGGGCGACCCCCATGAGAGCGATGGGGGGAGGCGGAGGGGGGCGCGCGGCCCCCCCGCCTCGGCCGCTCCCTCCCCGCCGGCTCGCGGCCCGGGGAGCGCGGAGGGTGCGCGGTGTGTGCTCGGTGTCCCCGTGCGGGGCCGTGCGGGCGGCCGGGGGGTGGCCGCGTAGCGGAGGCTCCCGCCCGCGGGGCGCCGCGTTACCGTGTGAGGCGGGCGCCGAGTTCTCGTGGTGTTTTGTGCGGCGGCTGCGATAATGGCGTCCTTCCTCGCGAGAGATCCGGCCCGGGGCCCCGCGCCGCGCACGCGCCGCGCCCGTGCGCGCGATGCCCCCGCCCTTCCCCGCCGAGGCGCCGCAGCGGGGACCGGACTACGAGTCCCAGAGGGCAGCGCGCGCGCCCCCGCAGGAGCACGCCGGGACCTGTAGTACGCGCGGGGTGGCGCGGAGCCTGACGGGAAGTGTAGTCAGGGAGTCACGGAATCACAGGGTCACTAAGGGTGGGAGAGAGCTCCGGGATCACCGAGTCCCACCTGTGATCAATCCCCACCTTGTCCCCAGCCCAGAGCACCGAGTGCCATCTCAGGAATTGCTGGGACACCTCCAGGGATGGGCACTGCAACCCTCCCTGGGCAGTTCCAATCCCTGACCCCCCTTTCCATGGGGAAATTCCTGCTGATGTCCGACCTGAGCCTGCCCTGGCCCAGCCTGAGGCCGTTCCCTCTGCTCCTGTCCCTGTTCCCTGTCCCCTCCTGGCAGGAGCTGTGCAGAGCCAGGAGGGCCCCCTGAGCCTCCTTTGCTCCAGGCTGAGCCCCCTCAGCTCCCTCAGGATTCTCCAGCCCCTTCCCAGCTCCCTCAGGATTCTCCATTCCCTTTCCCAGCTCCCTCAGGATTCTCCAGCCCCTTCCCAGCTCCCTCAGGATTCTCCATTCCCTTCCCAGCTCCCTCAGGATCCTCCAGCCCCTTCCAAGCTCTGTTCCCTTCCCTGGACATGCTCAAGCCCCTCAATGTCTGCACCACTCAGCCAGCAGAGCCGGCAGATGAAACAGGAATCTGCACCTCCAAAATCATTCACACCTTTCCCATCATCTGCTCCTTCCATCAGATTCCTCCCCCTGACAGCTCCTGGGTTAGGAGCTGGGATGAGCTGGATGTCACTGTGGTGCTGAGGACAGGAATGTCACCGTGCCCACAGCACGCTGAGCAGCAGGCAGCAGTGGGAATTTGCTAAATTGGCTCCTCAGCCTCACTCCTCTGTCACTCCCGTGTGTGCCGTGAGAACAGCAGGGCTGGGCGAAGGTGGGGAACGCACCGTGAACCTGCTGGGGATGATGAAAATATGCAAAAAAACCCCAAAATAGAAGCACGGAGGAAGTGTACGGAAATGGCTCTGAAAGAGGACAAAGATTAGATGATTTAATGCCTTTATATAGCACAGTGCTGCCCAATAAAGACCAACCACACTTCACTTTTCAGCTTCACTGTAGCCAGCAGCAACTTTCAGACTTCTGCATTAAAACAGTCCTTAAAAAAGACAAATAAAAATTCCTAAATAAGATGCCGAATGGGGTTTTCCAGTGCCATGTCACACAGCTGAATCCACTCAGGCTCAGCTGTGTTTCTCCAGACACCTGCAGGCCTGGTGTGTTGGGAAATTGCTCCCTCATGCAGGTTTGGGAGTGCTCAGCTGAGCCTGTTGATTTATTTATCATGTTCTCCCCCTTCACAAGCAGATCAGGCAGTTCAAAGGTTAAACCACTTAGAGTCTGACTTTTCACACTGGATTATTTCACGCTTTGCTGCACCGATTTGCCCTGTAACAGTTTTGCTGAAGAGTTTCTGCTGGACTCAAGCAATTGCAGGTCCCAGCTGGAAAAACAGGGATACAAATATCCCTGTTCCAGCTGCTGTGGGAGCTGCTGGTAAAAGCTTTTGCCATCCTAAACCAGCCGGAGGAAAAAGCCACCCTGTTTTCTCATATTTTTATAATATTGCCATCCCAAAGATTATTGACTCCTGTTTGCTGGAGGTGTGAGGTGTTTCTCCTCTGGAGAGCCATGAATCATTTCCCAACACAAACATAAATCTTTCATTGTCATAAACCAGTTATGGTATTTACCCAAAGTTAATTTAGATCAAATTAACTGCAGGAAATACTGGCGGGATCCAACTGATGTCTGCAACTGTGATCAGAGATAACAGCAGAATAAACAAATAAAACAATTTATCCCAAGGGAGGCTGCAGCACCTCCTCCTGCCAGTCCACTCTGATCCAGCAGCTGAGAATCCACAATTGCCTCACCCCTTAGAAGAGTTTTTCCCTCTTTACCAGAGAAATTAGTTTGGATTCTTTTCCAAACCAGGAGGCATTTCTTTTTAAAATTATGGATGACACCAATAAATCATAGAAAGTCTCCTTTATCGTGGTTTACCCCGTGTTTCCTTGAGACTGCACAGCCAGAAATGACAAACGCTTCATGCAGCACCAAGTCTGACTGGAAACACTGGGAAGCAGCAGGAGGAAAAGGATCTTTCTGCTCAATCTGAAGGAACAGGTTTGGATTTTCAGTCTTTGATTCCCAGTACCAATGAGTGACTGACCAAAGGGTAATTGCTTCCTGTGCTTCACAATCTCCTGAGCTTCAGCTGCTGCCAAAACTGAGCTCCTGTGACTATTTCTGCAATAACTGAAAGAAATTCAGTGTAATCCCCATTTAGTGAATGAAGGCTTCACTTTACTCTGGGCTAAGTCTGCCTATGAGCAAATGCCAAGAAGAACTTGATACACTGGAAGGTTTATTCTGATTTAAACCATGATAATTTGCTCAAGGCCTACATCAAATCCACTCTTAATTTCCTGTCCTCATACAAAAGCAACTGAGAACTTCAGGCTGCTAATATATAATTTAATTTTTTTAATTTTACAGGAGAAAATAGCCCCTGTTGCCCTGTTAGTCTGTTGTCCCAAATAAAACAAGGGATTTCTTTGTTGTTTTATTTCCTCACATTTTCATGGTCTTTTTTTTTTGTTTTTTCTGTCTCTTGCATTTGAAGTCTGTGCTTTGCCATGTTATGAGGAGTAATTTGCTTCCAGGAAGTATCCAGCTTATTTCACCCTGCTCTCAGCATTCATTTACTATTGTTTTCTAAGGAAGTTGCTGCTTTCACACTTTGTGTGGATCAGGAGAGATTGGGATCTCATTCATTGGTTTCCTTTTTTTTTTTTTCATTAGGGAAAAAAACCCTTCCAAAGCATCAAAGGTAAAAAATTAACACACTGTGCACACAATTTTGCAGCTGCAGCAGAAAAAGAAAGGTTGCCAAACAAAGCTTTTGTTTAAACAAGTGACAGACATCCATAATTATCCTCAGTGCTGAGCATGAGGACATGGAAAAAAGGGATGGGGAAGATGTGAGCAGGGCACAGAAGTCACTCCAGAGTATTTGTTGGAAAAATAATTTTGTTTTCTAAGAATAAAATCCCCAATTACATCCAAGTAAAAAGAGTACTTGAAGCTCCCCTGTTTATTAATTTCTTTCTGTTTGGGTTTATTCATTTTCTCTGTAATATCTCTTGTAACTGGAAAGGGAAATACACCAGCCTTATGAACACAGCCTGTCCTGTATTGTGACAGTGATGCTTGAGGAAAAGTTACATAAAATATATCTTCAACCAAGAGAATATTGATACTATTTGTAAATGTGCATATGAAGAGAAGCTCATCATTTAATTTTCAGCTGCCACATCCATTTTCAATCCCCTCAGAATTGTTCTGTGGTTTGTAAGAGAAAACAGGGCAGCATCGAGTGAGTTTTGCTCCTGGACCTACTTCAGCTACCTCTGAATCAATACTCTGATCTCATTCTGGTTTCTGCTGAATAAACTCCATTTTATTCAATGAAAATACTCCTGATTTTCATGAACACGGATGAAGAAAAGGCCCTGGATCCCCTCAGCAGAGGGAGAAACTTTGTGACACGTTTTGCCACGTCTGGTCAAAGTCCATGGTCCTGTAGGGTCACTTCTGCCAGTCTGAGGAGCAAGCTGAGAAGGGTCAGGCATGACCTCAGTGTTCTCTTATTTATTTACAGACTCCTCCATCTCCCTGGACACATCCTGGGAAAAAAAATGATGGGAGGCTCCTTCCCTTCTGAGCAATGTGCCCCAGGCACAAGCCCTGTGTTTACACTTTGCCTGGCTGGGATCTTCCAGATTTCTCACAGATCCTGTGAGAGAAGAGAAGAAGAATCCAGAAGAAGATCTCTCTTCTTCTCTGCCCTTTTACCTCCCCAACACAGCTGAGATTGCCCAGCTCTGCTCAGGTTTGCCCCAGACCACGTTTATTTGGTCAGGTACCATTATCATCCGAGTGCTTTTGGGGGGATTATCAAATCCTGAAGGGGAATCATTCCACCTACAGATTTTGGAGGATTTTATCCTTCTATGATTCTAAGCAGAATTTCACAATCTCCTCATTCCAGACATGCATCCATTTCAACACATCCAAAATTATTTTTAACTCCAACGTTTCAGATGTGAGAGGTAAAATAAACTGAGTGGAGATGTCCAGCTGTGGCCTGGGTGCCAGGATGTCCCTGAACACATTTCCACACAGCTCCACGTGGCAGAGGCAGGAAGGCAGGGCTGCTCTTCAGGGCAACCCAGGTCAGCCAGAACCTCATCCAGAGGCAAATTCCAGCCCTTGGGATGGTGAAATCCTGCATTGCCCTACAAGCTGGGCACTGCAAAGCTCTGGAGACAGAGTTTTTCTCCCATTCCAGGTGTTCTCCAGTAAATCCTGGAGTGCTCCCTGGCAGGGATGAAGGTCCATGGACTTCATCCATGGGACAGAACTTCCCAGCACATCTCAGGAATTCCTCCCGTTCAGCATTCATGGGGACAAATCTGGAATGTTCTGTCCTCTTTGGGGACTCCACTGCAAGAGAGAGAATGGAAAGCAGAGGTGGTTCCCAGGCCTCTGAGCTCAGCTGGATGAAGTGTCCCAGCAAAATGTGGACATTAAAAATAAAAGCTTTCCTCAAGTAAAAATCTACCATGGGAAGTGTGAGCCAATCCTCAGGGAAATGAGGGGCAAAGGCATCCAGGGATGGCCTGGCTCCTGTGGGGAACCTGCACTAAAGTCATGTTTTTAGTCACTCCATAGAGATTTCCACTCCTCAGCAGCTTCCCACAACTTGACTGAGTGTCCTTACCTAATTAGACAATAATTAGGTGAGGAAAATGCTCATTATTAAATCACTTCCATGAAAGCTAACTACAGTAAAGCTGTAACACTGGATTTTTTGCTGAATT